ACCTTAAGGTACATTCTCGCTGCCCACAGTGGTAACTTTGTCTCCGAGTTAGATAAATTTCAAGCGCAAATGCAATCTGAATTTTACTTTGCCATGATGGATGATAGAGGAAATAAATTAAAAATTTAAATAGATTGAAAACGCAATGCTTCATTCGATAATGTTGTTTAATACTTTCAACTTGAATCATAAATCGAGTTACTTTCAGTAGTTAGTCAAGTGAAATGAATAATTCATGCTCTTCCATTGGGTGATCTTGCACGAGAGGGTGATACTGATGGCGATGGCTCGGGGCTGCAGCCATTGCTACTTCCACGACGACTTCCTGCCCCGGTTTTTAATCGTACCATCGTGTCCAAATGACGAAATCTTGAAAAAATCCAATAAGCTTGGAATAAGCCTTGATCATCATACATCAATGAGCTGTGATTAGTGAATTTGTTATTGTTACGTTTGGTAAAATTATGATGAAAGGAAATAATGGAATACCTGAGGGATAATTCGCTGGTGTCGGCGGACTCCTTAGACATGAGATATGCCAGTGGCCAAGATATCCAAGAGCGTCTGAGAAAGACAAAAAGTATCTCATTATAAATGTTTATAATAAAAGTATTAAAGTAGGATCATGAGTAAAAATGGTAATGAATAATCACGTGGGTGGGGGATTAGACCCAATTCCTCCGATGGTAGCTTGGGTCTCCAATTTGGCGGGTTGATTAGGTGTTTTAGTGAATCCCGGCTGAATAGCAGGATCCGAAACCATACGAACGAAGAACGATCTTCTTTGTTCGAGTGTCGCCTTTCTCTTCTTTTCCCGTATATCTGCGAGTTCATCCATAACATCCTTGGACTCCAACATTTCAGAGAGGATATCCGTGATAACAGTCCAAGCGATTTCTAATTTCATAAACCCAACGATATTATTTGATCATTTCTGAATCGAACAGTCCCAGAAAAATAAAAATACGGAAAGAAAACATATCCAATCTCGCACTCACCGATATCTTCGACATTCGCATTTGGAGCTGCAAGAGCGAATCTGATGGTATAACGATGATTCACATTAGCAGGGACCATGTGAATTTTTCCGGAATCGTTTATTGCACTGAGTAATTTCTGATTAAGTTTGTCGGTGCCTTTAGCTCGAAAGCAAACCAATCCTAGCTGTGACAAATAAGTAATAAATACGTGAAATCTTTGATCGAACTGTAATTGCAATTCGATAATTACCACGACTTCGTTGCAGATTTCAAATCTCGAGTCTTTTCTCACTAAAGCTTCAAAGTGTTTGGCTAGTTTACAGTGATTCCTTATGTAGGCCTGAAGACCAGAAATTCCATAGCTTCTCATCACAAACCAGAGTTTTAACGATCGAAATCTTCGACTGAGTGGAATACTCCAGTGCCTTCATAAACGCATTAAACATTTTTATTTATTCATAATAAAATGATGATCAATGAAAATGCTTCTTGATGAAGGATACTATTGAAGAAAGATTCATCTGATTACCTATAATCAATAGCGGTATCTGCATGAGTATGCTGTAGATACAAAGGATCAACGACAAGTGCACTCGTCAGTTTAAATCGATCTCTCACCCACAAACAGGAACAATCAAAGTTGGTCAAAAGAAACTTGTTGGTATTCGTATTAAAGGAATCGGCATATTCAATGCCTGACATTAGATACTTCAACTCTGGGCAGATGAATGAGTTGCCAGCGTAAGCTGCGTCAATATGCAGCCAAATCTGTTGTAGCAAGCAGTTAAGGATTTGATATTAAAATTTTTAACGGTTAGAATTCGGGCGAGGTCCTCTGGAGGACCTAGTATAGATATTCTAGTATAGATTTATGAAATGAGACTACTCACTCCGGGATATTTCTTACAAATCACGCCAATCTCGTTGAGATTGTCGAAGGAGCAGCAGGCAGTAGTGCCGAATGTCGTTGAAACGAAGAAGGGTACTCTCCCCTCGGCAACATCCGCCTCGATGGCCTGCCTGAGTGTCTCACCCCTGAGGACACTCTTCTCATCAGGCTCGAGTATCCTCAGCTTAACAAAACAAATCATTGCATCTTTTTCAACGCAACTGTGTGACTCTCTGCTGCAGTACGCCATAAGTTTTCCCAGAAGAGCTGTCTCATCCAAGTGTCCATTAGCTGGTAATTCTTTAAGCCTCGCTATGGCCTGTGCTCTTGCCGCCAACATGCATACAAGAACACTTTCTGATGCCGAGCCCTGTATAACACCTCCACCTCTGCTTCCGTTGCTGAAGTACAGGAAGTCATTTGGTAGACCTATCGCCTTTCCTGAAAGACCCATCATTTATGGCGCTATTCTCCTTTCTCATCTACTTTTATTGAATCTAACTTCATCCCCTCCCGCCCTTATTTACCGAACCAATCGCAGACTATTGTCTCCAATTCTGTGCACGCTGGACTCGCCGCCTAGAGAATCAACTCATTTATTATATCATTCTGTTTTGTCGTCTTACGAGGAGAAAGGGTAGAAATTTATTACGAACCCATGAAAATCCGATGCATCCAATAGCGTCGGACAGCATATCTCCCAAAATTGAAGGGAAGGAATTGCCAGCAGGAAAATATGCATGGAAACGTGGATGTTGCCAATGAGTTATCTAGAAGGAAAACGGGTCATAGAATAATTGGTTGCATTGAAAATTTTTAAGTGAAAATTGAAGAAAACACAGGATTCACTCATTTACTCACTCCAGGCATTATCTTTGATTCAACATCACTCATTATGCTGTCCCATGATTCGCCGCGTTGGGGTGCTTCTGCAGGTAACATCGGCCTCAAGTAACCCGGACCGACGTCTGGTGTTACTCTCCGATTATGGATGTTGCTCATGAAGTCACATATATACTCGACCATCTCTTTTCCACGGATGCGAAATTCTTCAACGTCCATTGTCAACGTCAGTGTAGATTTCCGGAGATACTTGAAGAAATCCGAAGAATATGAATATTTTTCACCACACTACAATCAGTGATTCCACAATAGTGATATCTATGTCAGTACCGTGGGCATTCAAATGCGCTTCTTAAGCCTCAGTCGAACGATCGTAGACACATTGGTAGAATCTGGTAGAAAGATATTGATGTACTCTCCGAGTGGACTAATTTTCAAGTACCTAGGGCAATCAGTATGGCATCTGGAGCACATCTTCAGGAAGTCACGGTACTGACATTGACGGTACGTTTTGAGACATTTCTTGAGAACGGTAGCAGAAAATTATGAAATTTGAATTAAATAAATAAGAAACATGTGGTGGCACGTTTTGTAAGTCAATTCCGGGTAGGATGTGTGATATGGTGGAGCAAATGATGAATAAATTCATTATTTGAGACACGGTACTGACATAAATACTCTTGACTATCGCAGCACCAACTGGTAAATCACATATTCAGAAAAGTTATTCATCTCCAAGAATGTTCAAGGAAATATCTGATCATTCAGCACTGACTCGCTCCCCTACTAGCGGGTATTATCTTATAATGATGAAAAGAGTGATTTCGTAATAATCACTATTTCCGTGGAATCACCCATATACTTTAACTAAATTAAAGCGGTAGTACTTAGTAATTATCAAATAATCAAATAAAATATCAAATTAAATCTATGTCTATTACTTTAATCAAGTTTAATTACCTACCTGTTGATTAATAATCGGTGAAGAAAAATTGGGGGGAAATCGACGGAAAATTGGTGTTTCGAAGACGATGTTAACTTGAGGAAAGCCAGAGGGTGACTCAGGGAATTGAATGGGGGTTGAATTGGTCTTTTACTCTTCGGCATTCTCCTTCGTCCTGGTTATCTGCGTCATGGCGCAGGCGTTCCTTGAGAAGAATTCCATCCCAATTCCGGGGGGTTCCTGATCTTGATAGTTTCATCCGTCTTATTTACCGCAGTTTTATGTTCCCCTTCAATTATTATACTTTCATCATAATATCATTCACAAATTATAATAGGATTATATGTAATATAATAACAATAAATATTCATTGAGTTGTAAACCGGTACCGCAGAAAATCTCATGGGCGATAGTATTCTGGGAATAATTAATTATCAATCATGTTGATTATATTTCGATTAGATGAAATATGAGGTGAATATTTTTTAAGAATATCTCCCACCAATGGTGTTGATTACTCGAGCGCAGGAATCACCGGGGTATGCTCAAGGACACTTTGAGTAAATTGGATGTTTAACTCGATTTAAATGCCGTACCGAGAACGACCGAGTGTTATTAAATAAGTTGTCATCGGCACACCTCGGTTATCTCTTGGCTCCTCGGCTCCTTTTTTCCTTTTTTCATCACTTTATTTCAATATTGAATCCAGCTACCACTTAGCAACTTAAAGTCATGGCGTCATTTACCAATTTTTTATTCTTTAAGAAAAAAAAAAGACGAAAAAGACCGCAATGGCGGTGGTGCCCCAAGTATAAATACAAGTATACCGGAAACTTCATACCAAATTTTAAGTTGAATCTATTTTTTGTAAGGTTATCCCAAGGTTATCGCGCTAACGATTTTTCTTGTCAAAGCAGAAAAATTGGAATAACTGAACAATATAGTAATGATGGTTATAGATATTCCGGTCAATTGAGATCGAGTACATCGAGACGAATATTTTGAGAGTTGGAAAAGTGAAATCGGTTGCATAGTTTTCGAGATATTTGGGGAAATCGGTTCAGAATGAAATACCGATTTATGAAAAATCGGTCGACCAATCGAGCTGAGTTTTGTCACGGACTTGGTCCATAGTAATACCTATGATTTGAGGAAGTATTACAATTCTTGGGAGAACTTCAGCCGTTTATTTTTTTAGTCTTCTAAAAGAGTAAGTGAAGTAGACCGTGCGCACATCCACGCACATCCACGCAGTCTTCAAATTTTGTATTTTTACGTTTCAGACCATTCTACATCATTTCCAAACAAAATTCCCCGGCGAAAAAAAAACTATAAAAATTACGCGCCTGTTCCATACCCTGCCAGTCAAAAAGTATTCAGTAAAAATGACACTTAACATTCCGTACTTTTTCCTGAAATAAAAATCCAATAAAAAAGTGCTCAACTGTTCCATAATTTCTCCTAAAAGAAATTTTAACTGACAGATCACAGACCATGCGTGTAATTTTTACCGAATTTTCCCACACGTACACTGAGAGAAATATTCAATAAAAATTACGTGTATTTTTCGTAATTCTGGAGCGAAATGTGGTTGTCGGAAATTTTACGGAACTGTCACGTAATTTTTATCTAAAATCACGGAATTTTTCCCCGATGTTCCGTAATTTTTATCTGAATTATCGGTGAAAAATAACGATACCGCCACTTAAATTTTTCGAATCAACTCCGTAATCGGTAAGTGAACTGAAAGTTCCGTAATTTTTACTAAATATTTCTCTCCGTGTAGAAACTCCAAAAATCGGACGATTAAAAAGCGCCCGTTCGACATCAACGAAAAGTATTAAAAGTATTTTATCATGTCATCCATCAACTAAAAAAAAGGGTCCCCCATTAATATAAAGCAGCTAGGATATAAACGATGAGTCAATATGAATGAGAAAATGAAGAAGTCCTTGAACTGTTAAAACCTTGGCATGAATGACCGGACTTTTGAGTACTTGACACGGGTACGTTGGGGGTCACCCTAACTAGACCTTTAGGGATAAAAACCCTCATAATACTGGAATGCGAGAGGGATGAGAAATAGGGATGACTTGAATGGGGTGAATTCGAAGGTGGAGTAAACGCTTAATAATGCAATATGGCGTTCGAGGCTTCGCAATGCTATTCGCGCTATGCCGACGTACAACTACCATATCCACCCACACCATGAAATTCACACATTTCCCCTCCTCCCATAAACCGATTGACAATACATTTTTTCCACTTCTCCTTTTACCTTCATTGGAATGCTCGTCAATTTCATACCAGTCGTACGCTGAGAAAAAAATTTTCTTTAGCCAAGAATATTTACTAACCACAAGAAAATATATTTGGCATTAGTAAGTCTTATGGAAGTATTTACACAGTGATCCCCAGATTTACTAGTAGGAAGAAAATATTCTTGGAAAAAATAATTTTTTTTCTCAGTGTACTCTATTTTAACGTAAAACATATATTATTTATTATCAAAACAAACTGTATAATTGATACTCGAGCTAGCAGCTCTATGGAATTAATTAATCAGTTAAAGGCGTTATTTAATTTTAATTCGAGAAGTAATCAACACTGGTTATTTAAATGAGATAAAGATCGCGAGAGGTATCTCTGCATACCGAGAATGGTTTTCCATGAGAGAAAATTGAATTGAATTGAAAGGTGAACTCGTGACCCAGTGTTCCCATCTCCGTTTTCCAATATCTTCGATTCATATCCCATTCCAATAGAACGTCTGTTCTTGTTTTTTTACTCTCTCTTTTTCTCTCTATTATTACGTGTGATGAAAAATGTATAAGATAAATGAAATATAAAATACAAAGTATAAACTAAAACACAAAACAACAAGTTAACAATGATTTGTCATTATTTTCAGATGGGACGATCGAGACTGAAGAAATGTCGAAAAATAGTGAATGCAGATGAAACGCATGAAAAAACTGAAGGAAAACTCATCAATAATTTACCGGATAAATTGTTAATTATGCGAGTGAAGAGTGGAACGAAAATTAGGAATGTCTTTCAGTACTCTATTAAAGAATTTACAAAGTATGAAGGGGTTTTATGGACGGGTGGGGGTCAGGCAGTGGGAAAAGTCATTACATGTGCGGAAATGTTCAAGAGGCAGTACAAATGTCTTCACCAAATTACAAAACTTCAGTATATCGAGTAAGTTTGAATAAAAAAAATATTCATAATCAAGTTAAGTAAGGAAAAAAATGTTTTTAGATCGAAAAAGAATTCTGAGGCGGATACCGATCAGAAGCAAGTGCCGGAAATCCATATATACCTCACAAAAAATCCGCTGAACTCCTCCGAACTTGGGTAAGATGATATTTAATACTAATAAGTTTAAAAAAAAAATGATGATGATGATGACTCTTTCTATAATTCGTTATATTTATCGCAATTAATTTTCAATTAATATTTCAATGCGTTAATTTGTTGAAGTAATAGCCATAGAAAATTATTATATTGTATTTGATTTTATGGATAAATGTTATATTGTTTAAACAAATTAATGAAAAAAAAAATTAGTCAATCGTCATGAAATTTTTACTATCGATTTATATGTGCTTCAATAGTAAATTTTGAAAATTGCAACAAAATGGTAGATTTTTAATTATATTTACAGAAATTTTTATTTTTTCCATAAAAGGCTGTGTTAATTGAAAATTTTAATAATTAATAATACTTCAAAATGATATCTCAAAATGTCAAGCAATTCTTATATCTTCGCCAATACATCCACAGCAACGTTAATTCATTCCTTACGATTGTCTTCATTTTTCCAGATACCAACAGCCCCATGATACCGGCAATTTCCAGAATTCATCCGCGGATGTGCACCGGAAAGGTCAAAATGTTAACAGCAACATTTCAGGAATTTCTACTGAGGAATTCGCCAAAATGGGATTGAGAACGGGACAAAAGAGACCGAGGAAAAATGTGACGAACAAAACCCCCACTAAATCGAAAAAAGCTCGCGTCACAAATTAATTAATAATTTTCCACAAAAAACAATGATTATTATTATATTATTGTATTAATGTCTCAGGGCTTATCTATTTTTCATTTACAAATTTTCCCCTTTTTTTATTTTCTCATTGTCTTCTTTTACAGGTTCTTTCATTTAATAATAATAATTGATTGATGAAGTCGTTCATTCTATTCCAACATTCATTCCATTTTATCTATTCAACATGTTGGTTTTATAATATTATCAACATTATGTTTGTTTCCGTACTTTTTTTCTTTATTTACAGGTGCTATTTACAATTGAAAGTTATGATGGAATTATGCTTGAATTGTTGTTATTGTTTTTTCTCCAGTAAATAATGAATTTCAGTGCACATTGAAGTGGCAGTGACCATGATGTTTATTATTTTATAACACTGAATCTCAGATTTTTAAAATTTTTATACAAAAAAATGTGAAAAAGCCATTCTCCTCTTTCCTATTTCACCACATAATTAGGTTTCGAGATAAAAAGCGAATTATATTTATGATTTTTTAATAATTTCTTTTTCCCACCCTTTATTATCTTCAAAAACAATAATTTATTATTTTTTAAATGCCAATGATTACTTCCAATTGATTGAACTCTTCTTTTTTAATTAATCGAATATTTTCATTTTTGAAATTCTAGTCATTCGAAGGGATTTTATTCATCGATTTTAATTGAATCAAACACTGTAATCTTATATTATATTTTTAGATAATATTATTTGATTTCTTTTCCCCTTAAAAAACTATAACTAGTAATCGGAGAGTTCTAATTGGCGACAAAGAGAGAAAAATGCCTAGCTTTTACTCTAACACTTTTTCGTTCTTTAGGAAGTGATGAATACTGTATAAATATTAGCGTCTCACAACATTTAATTCTAATGGGCTAAATAATGACATTTGAAAACTTTTATTCAATTTTTCATGGAAATTCTATCATAATCACAATAATTAATCGTCGAATCTTTTATGTATATCAATCATCTTGCTTTCCTCTGCTAAAAAATAAATGAGTAGAATGGAAAAAAGCTAATGAATATTTAATGTGAATTAAACTCTCGATTGGGTACGGTGAATGGTGTAATTTTCCTAAAGAGAAAAACTAATCGATACGAATGTTTCTCCAATAATTTTTGAACATTACGTGACTTATAATATTTTTAGTTATAGATGAATTAATGATTGGTGATGAATTTATGTCCGAGGGTGAAAAATTCCATTTTTCAGAGTAAATTTCTCGTGCGGAAATTGAATGACTTGGTGATTTTTCATAAGTTGATTTACGCCTCGCTTTCGGTTGCACTGTCATCTTTCGATATTGGAACTATCAGATTGTCTTTAGACATGAGTTTGTATTTTGTTACAAATGCTGTAAACCTGAAAAAACAGAACCATTGCAATATTGACATGCGAAATGTTAAATAAACTACTGCAAGTATAATAAATTATCATTACGATGAGAGATAAACACATCGAAAAGAAAACGTGTCTACATTACCTTCGACAAAGATAGGTTTCATGTTCAAAAGGATCGAATATCGTCAGATGATGAAAATAAGCATGTGAAAAAATTCGATAGACCCTTCGACAAACTGATCCTAGTTTAGCAACGGATGACTCCTTGATGCTAACTCTGCTTGGAAAATATTTATTACTGTTTAATAAACAGGCAGCACCATCCAGTGTATGCCTTGTATAATCGATTGCTGGGCATTCTTTAGGTGTTTTATGTGCAGCGCACAAGAATATCCACTGCTCAGTGGCAGTCATTTGTGTACAAGACTGGGGATCACAATCATCCTGTAGTCTAACAGCTAAACCATTCAATTCCATACAAAATTGCCTTAGGTGTTCATATTTCCATACACCCTCGTCCTGTGCCTCTGGCATAGTTAAAATTAAATCTATATTTGTTGGATCTCGTCGAATCATTTGTTGGATATACTGCTGTACTGCCAGAGTACTGTCCATCTCCTCAAAGGGCTCGTCCGGCCATCTGCAGAAGTCCTACAATATTTTTCCATCAATTATTATAATACACAGGATAAAATTTATTTTTGTCAAAATATCAAGCCACCAATGGCGGTCTCAGGGTGACAATAGCTCAATGTCAAAATGGGATCAAGAAAGCTTAACCTCAGTGCACCGACTATATTACGAGTTGAAAGCCATTCGATAGTCGAAGAAATGCCATTAAATACCTTAGCCTTCGTTCCTGGCCTGTTTCTCCTCAATATAGCTGAACCATCCGCCATCTTCATTTTATCAGTTGTTTCTTCGTTCGTGTCCGGTGTTTCACTTGATGCACTTGGGCGACTAGATGTGTCCAGCATATTATTCCAACAATTTATCCTCGTCAGTCGGCCTTTACGATTCTCTGCGCATGAATGCTCTACCCTCTGCCTCTATGCCCTCTATCCTCTATGTATCATCTCATATTCTCGTACCGCTGCTACTGCCTCTAGTGGTTTACAACTCTAACATGTGACCACCTTCACTCAACAATCTCACCATTTATCCACTTTTCTAGGGATAAAACAAAATCCCCAATCATTTTTCTCCCTTTTTATTTATTTTTCACCTTCCAACACCTCCAAAGCATTTCTCAGCATGCTGCACCACATTTTTATTTGTTTATCCACTCATTCACTTTTAAAAATATAATTGTACTTCGTATTTTATTTATTTAAAAATCTCTACATGGGTGATTGCGATTTTTACATTTTTGCGTCTTGATTTTGACATCACAACTTTAGGAACAAAAACGAGACTGATAATTATATAAGTATTTGGTATATAAATTCTGAGGGGAATTCAACATTCACCTATATTTTTAAATATTGCAAAAGTGAGCAACAATTAATTGTCCTCTGTATATTTTTTAATCTAATATATCAAGAGGATAAATCAATGCTCCATACCCTTCGCCATGCAAGCCATCATGTGAACGAATGATGAGAGAGAATAATTTTTAATAGATTAAGCGTAATCTTTCCGTAATTCCGGA